CAGCCGAGAAGCGGGAGGTCCTTCCCCGCCGCGGCGCTCGGGGGAGAGGGGCCGGCGGTACATAACCGCCCCCGTCTGAGATAAGGGGGGAAAGAAATCCTCAATGAAATATATATTTAAATGCAAAACGGCCCGTTCAAACAGGGACCCATTATGCGTTTGGTGTGAAACGCTATCAACATTTAAAACTTCATTGTCTCCTTTGTACCAAATCCCTGTAAATCTTCCACTAGCCTTTACTCATTTTCATCTGAAAAGCCTGTTTGGGCTGAATAGACAGCAATCAGCAGCCTCTGGACTTCTCTCTCTCGCTGGAATGTCAATTAAAATGCAGATTTTTTTTTTTTTTTCTTTCCTCCCCCCTGATCTCTTAGTGGCAAAAGACTTGAGAAAAACAGGATAGTCCTGGAAAGCAAATGAAAGAAGTTCAAACAATGAAAAAGTACCGAAGCTGCCAGCCGGTTCCCATTAGTCCTCCAGAATTAATGTTTAATAACTGTGATGCTCAGACTTGCGTGGAGATTAAACTATGATGAAGAGTCTTGTTAGATATTTGCGTGTGTATATATTTGTAGACGCATATATATTTGTGTGTGTATGTGTATATATGTGCGTGTACGTGTATATAAAGCTGTTAGCTTTAAAGCTTCACTTACCTGTTTTTTTCTGATGAAGCTACTGGGCTTTTAGGGCGCTAGAGATTTCTTTGCGGGGGAAAGATCCGTATTTTATTCAGATTTTGCTATTCCCTGCCTAGTAGAGAAAGATGCTGAAGAATTCCTCAACGAGCAATGTATTGATTTGGTTAACATACTCTACAAATTGTACTCTCCCTGGGGAGTGATAAACATCTTATAAACAACAATGGAAGTAGATTAAAAAGAACACTGAGCATTGAATTTAATTAATGCCACTGCTGAACAAGTACTACTTGTTTGTGTGTGTGATTGTGTTTAAACTGAAGTACAGCTTGGAGGAATTTGGTTGGGCTCCCAAACCAGTCTGCTTTCCCATGCTTGTCAGTTTGGCAAAGAAATTTGGGCAGGTATGTGACGAGGTGAAAATTGACTTGATGAGCGAGTGGCAAGGAGAGCCATCAATCACGGGGGGGCTGACAACTCCTCCCCAAAGTGTAGGCTGAGAAGAGAGACAGAGTTCCCTTTCAAGGGTCAAAATAAACACTACGTGTGGCTTTCACTGAGGCTGAGACTCCAGGAGGGATTATGGTATTGTAGTCAGGAAGCCAGAATTGTGGAGGCCAAAAAGCATGCTGGGGCTGTGTTCCAAACATTGAGATAGAGGTACATAATTATCCAGCGCAGGAGGTCTTTCCAGAGACCGGTCCCCCAGCAACTGTGGCGATTAAACTATGAAAAGAATTTGGTTTCGTTTCATCTTCGTTGGACTCTGCTTTTTTTTTTTTTTTTTTTTTTTGGGGAAAGGGGCAATCCTGGAACCCTGGTTGCTCTCGTGGTGGTAAAAAGTGGTTTGGCTCCATGGATGGGTCCAGAGCTCTGATTTTTGCTTTGCTACACCTTTACAAGCCACGGTTTTGAATTTTCTGCAGCCCTGTGGATCAAGAGCCCCTTCTTTCTGCTGGCAGATGGTCAGGTGCAGAAGCTGGCAGAAATCTTCAGGTGAGAAGATGCAGCACAAGGCTACTTGACCACGCACTTCAGGGCTTAGGATGAGCGTAGGAACCACAAACGTGCTTTCAGTGGTGTTTAACGTAGCCTAAAAATCTTAAACGGCTGAAATGTAAGTGGAATTAATGCTGTTAAAAAAAAAAAAGAGTCTGGATTATATGCTAGCATTCTGGTATGTTTTCTTTTTGCAAAATTATGATTAAATTTTGCATTTATATACGTAGCCTTTAATCAGGCTCTACAGGATGATTTATGGAAATTAAATTAGCATTATATCCAGTCTGTTAATTAGCATTTCTACCTGCTTTACAGCTGGATAAACTGAGATACAGAGCGGGGGCCGTCAGACAGCGAGTAGGGCGGTTGTCCTGGGTGGGAGGTAGAGTCTGGGAGGATTTGCTCCAGTCCTTCACCAAACGCAAACCGGTCCGGGAGACAGAGCTCTCTTCAGCTCTGCACCTGCTCTGTGCTTATTTAGAGCTCGGCAAGCTCTTTGCAAATGTTTTTGCAGTGGTCTGGTGGTGTTTTCACTGGAGATTTAATAGTAGTTGCTAGCTTGTGGTCTGGGATGCTCACGCTATGCTTAAATCTCCAAAGGAGGGACAGAGCTTTGAGCTGCTATCAGTTGAGGTGAAAGAAGCTTGCCCTGAAGTATCAGAGATTCGCCTGAAATACCTTGTATTAATTATTTGCTCCAACTGCCTTTTTTCTGTCATCTAAAATCTGTTTCTACTGACTCTCGAAGTTATTGTATATCGTACCCAAGATAAAAGATGCCTCAACAGCATTTCTGTCCTTAGCACTGTGAACTTGGTTTGTACGTGCAGGTAGCAAAAGGCTAATAAAATCTGAGTAAACTTTTTAATAGTTGGCCTTATAAAGGGAGAGTATTTGTCCATGTGTCTGTGTACTGTATACTGAAGTACCATATCCAAATGGAGGGAGTGTTGAGAAGTTTGCCTTTATGGCTACAATTTCCCCTGTTTTTAAAGGGTGAGGGCAGGAGGGAAAAAGAGTGCTTTATGTTATTTTTTCCTTCAAGATGAGTGCTCTCTAAGCTTCAGTTGGGTTTCATCACATCTAAGATGAATCATTGGCCAGTTTAGAACAATTGCTGCAGTTACTTGTTTTATCCATTTGCTGAGGTTTACCATCTTTTATTTTTGAAGTGGAAAATCGGGTCTAATTTTCTGGTTGAACTGTTAAATCACCCTGTGAGGATGTTCTGATCCTCACCTGGCATCTTGGTGTGGTGGCAACAGGGTCCCCTGAAGGGAGTGCCGGTTACTTTGGTACCGCTTCTCTCTTCCATCAGCCCATGTCTGGATTACCAGTTAACTCCATCCATTTAAATAAGTTTTACTGTAAGAGACACTTATATTTTTCAGATGGGAAAAAAAAAAAATCTCAATAATCATTGTTTAGAGAGAGAAGAGAAACGTGCATGCACACAGTTTAGCATATATGAATGGAAAACGATATTGGGGAGATCTCCTGTGAAACTGCAGTCTGTACCACGCTCTATACAGATTTTAATTGCCTGTAATGCGATGTAGCTAACCAGTATCCCTGCGAAGACTGGAGCCTTTCACCTGTACGGGACTTTTGGGCTTTAAAAGGACACTGAACTGAGCCAGAAGAAGGTACATCCATAGGGGAGCTGGAAGTCCTGAGGCGAAATAAAGTTTTACAGATTATCCAAGTCTAAACTTTCAACTGCTTTTCTTGTGGAAAATTACTGAATTCTTGCAAATTCAGCTGGCTGCAGAACTGCCTAGGTGAAGGAATGAAAAACAAGGCAAACTTACATAAACCTTCAAACAATAACAAGAATATAATTTGTATAATTGTGGTAATTTTGTAGCATTACAGGTTATGTGCCTGCACAAGTGTGTGCCTCTCATTTTTTAAAAACTATATTTTTCTGTCAGTAAAATAGCTCTCTAAATATGTGCTGAGAAGTGATTTTGTGAAAACAAGGAGGACTTGGTTACGCCTCAGGTGATGATGGAAACTGCTAACAGAAAATGAAAAGTCACTCACTTTTCACATATTCTTGAAGCTGGAAAACTATTTTTCCCATCCTCCTCCTCCTCCCCCTCTCACCTCAGCTCTGTTCGGGGCTTTCTGAAGTTTTTTCGGTTTGCTGTTTAAGATGGTTTCACTGACAGTGTTAAATCTCTCTCCTCCCCACAGCAGCAGTCGTCGTTCCAAGGCAGGAGGTATCACCCTGGCCGAAGGCACTGCTTTCTCTCCATGCTTCTCTAGAGGTGTTCAGATGGGATTAAAGTCCACATGGAGATATGGAAATGGACCAGGAATTTACTCTAAAAAGATGGTCAGCTGGGATTTGGGTTGCCTTATCTGCCTGGTGGTGGTCACCATGGCTGGACTTTCCCTGGCTCGACCTTCGTTTAATTTAGTTGTTGAAGACACCACGCTGGAACCTGAAGGTAAATCTCTCTAGAATCCTTAATTCTGCAAAATAAGTTAATTTTAAATGCCTGAACATCTGAAATAGAACTCGACATCTTTATATGCTTTGGTAAATCCAAGGCAAGTAACAGATGAGCCCTCAAGAGTTATGTTTTTTGACTTTTCCTGCTCACACATGAGCTGTGTTCATGCAAGCATGCGTTTAATCTTATGCAAGCCAGCGGTGCCAATGATTTCACTTGGGACTGTCATCACGTTGTATAATCAAAGTGTGCGGCTGAAAGTTTTCAGGAACGGGTCTTGAAGGAAACCAGTCTGGCACTTACATACGTGTTACGTGTTGCTGTCCCAAGGAACGAAATGGCTATGTAGCTGTGTGTCTTTGTGATTGTCTTAACCTGAGAAGTTCGGAGAAAAATTAATCCCAATAGTTTTCAGTTGCATGGCCTGAATGTTTCATTTTGCCAGGCACTCTGCAAAAATGGTGTTGCAGCTTTATTGGTGTTTGTACTTAGAATAAATGTCCCTGTTGCTGTTAATATCCAAGAACAATCGGTACAGTGTCTGGATTGCGAGTTCTGGAAGTGTAAGTGTTGAGATCTGGATAGCAAGGACTGCAGTTGATTACTGTGAAAGCAAAGGCTAATTGAGACCTTTACATTGGAGGAGGTGTTTTGATAAAATCTCCTATTTTGAGCCTGCACCTGTTGGTATGTTTTAGGTATATCCGTTCCGCGAGCTTTGCAAAGTGGTTTTCTTCTCTAAAGAGCTAAGGAGAGACTGCTTTTTTCATTGTCGTGAGCTGATTGTGTTTAAGAATGATTTTACTGTATTGTGTAGGATCTTTCCTGCTCTCCTGGCACCTTCGGGGGAAAGTGAGGTTTTCCTTTCACAAGGTTTTACCTGTCCTCTGGAAGAATGATTGCATTTCTAATAACTCAACTGTCAAACCAATATAAAATGGTCCATAGAGCGTTTCTGATCCAGCAAGCTTGCCGGAGAGAATTTGGCCTTTACACATTCTACTACTCATGTCCACGGATACAGCTTTGTTTTTCTTTCATATATTTTCATGCAAAACTTATTTGTTTCTATCCACTGCCTCTAAAAATAGACGTCACCAGCTAACACATTTTTAGAATCCGTTCCAAGTACATTTTTATTGATGGCAGGGGATGAACTATTTAGAGACTGAGCCCTCTTCCCTAGCGAGCATTCCTGAAAAAAAATTAACAAAATATAGCAATATTGTCATTTGTCAGCCATCGAGATTGCTGATAGCAAAGGGGTTTTTTTTTTCTCTTTTGAAGGTAACTCGAGAATTTAAAAAAAAAAAGCCCAACTCTCATCACCACTGACTGTATGATTTGCTAATTGCACATCTGGTGCCTTTTTGGCTTTTCAGAGGAATGGCAAAATCATGAATAATTGTGGTTTCAGATTAGCTGTTTGTCGTGAGGTCCCCTGGTTTTAGGGTTAAATCAGAAAGAATGTGATTGCATGATTGGTGGAGTGTTTTACAGGGAGAAGAGTAATATATTTTGAATGCTGCTTGATAATTTTTCAGCTTTCTGGGAAAGAATAGCTTTTGTTATTTTGAAAAGCACTGTTTAAAAATATGTTTCTTCCACAGTGAATATCCAAGGGATCCAGGTTTTATCAAAGAGTAAATTGTTAAAAAGGGTTTAAAGCTTCTTCCCTGGGCAGGAATGTTATTGACGTGAAACAATTTTAGACATGAGAACCCGAATCATTACCAGAAATGAGGAAAAAAAACCCAACCCACCCCAAAACCACTTCTAAGTTAATGATATAATAAGAGCTTTTATGCTGCAGAATACAGGGAGTTGTGTGGGATTTATACCTGAGATTTGGGAAATAAAACCTCCTTTATGTACTTTGTTAAACCCCTTTAAAAAAAAATACCCGGTTTTTACACAGTCACCTCTCTGGGTTCCATCGTTGCCACCCACAAGCTCTCCAAGCCGAAAACAAAACAAAAAACCCTTCAAAAAAATCTCTCCAAAGACAAAGCAGACTTCTTTTTTTAATTTAGTAAATGGCAAACATTTTGGCCGCAGCTAATTTGGGGGGTCAGGTGCTCTAATAATGTAAATTTTCGGTAGGGCTGCTGACGCAGTCATTAGAGCTATGACATTTTGTACCAGCCGAGAAGGTCGACAGGGCCATGACCTTTGGTGGCACGTGTTGATCTGTTCCTTAGTCTTCCTTCATAGACATGCCCTAAATTTTGTCTTTTTTTTTTTTTTTTGATGTTAGGTGCTTTTATTGTTACTATTTGTTGTCTTAGTGACTCAGAATATTCAAAAAGCTGTATGCAACGTTAACAGGAATTGAGATTGTGGCTTTTTGTTCCTTGGATTGTAATAGAGAATATACTCCTGTCTCTTAGCTAAACATAACTTTAGGGACATTTGCAACCATTTCCTTCAGAGTATCTGGTTAGCAGTCTTTATCTAATAGGGTTGTCTTGTGTCAAGGTACTCTGCCTTTGGTTACCGGCAGTCACTGTGATCTCGTTGGCAGCTTTTATGAAACACTGGACTTGTTGAGCTCTGAATCTCATCTGTGACCATTAGATGTTACTCTGGTACCTAGGAAAGTATTTACACTGAAGACGGTATCTTGAGCCATTGTAAATTATGATGTCAACGTTGCTCACTAAGGGCTGGATCCTCACTATGGTGGTTGTCGGTTGTGGTGCTTTCTTCCCTAAGCAATGATGGGAACATCTGAGGCTGTTGAGCCGTGTGAGCAGAAACAGGACCTGTAGGAGTTAGTTTGGGGACTGTCAACTATGGAATTATATCTTGTATCGAGTGTTTACATATATGTTTTTTATCCTAGAGAGTGTAAAGACTTTCTGCTGTTCAATATTTAGAAATAAGTCTCCCCCAGTGTGTACAAAGGAGCCATTCTCTTTCCGCGTACCCTGGGCTGTGACGGCCTTTGATGATAGCCAACGTTTCGAAAGGGCTCTGACCGCACACATAGATTGAAGGGTTACTTTGTGAACTGAATAATTAGTTTAGACATATATTTGATAAATAGCAAGCTCTCCCTTGACCTTCCCTTGCCCAAGCTGTGTGTTATCGTTCTGCTGGGTAGCTAATTTAGTCTCTTCCCCACATGCAACGCCTTGACGCTGTCCTTGGAGCACCCGCTCGGAGCCCTCGCGGGGTGCGGTAACAATGTGTTTCAGTTCTTTTAATTTAGGTCAAATTTCAAAGGACTAATTTAAGCTTTCCACAAGGGACAGCCTAATTCTGCGTCCTGTGAAAAACACAGTAGTTCAAAATAGCCTGAAATGTGAGTTTGGGAGGCTCCTAGGAGCAGCAGTGAAGGAGAGGGACCTTCTTCAATGGGTGAGGTGTGCTTGTGGTGGCCTTGGAAGTGAGTAATGCGTTGTCACTTGGGTTTTAATTCGGTCACAGCTATGTGCTGGCACAGAGCAACACACAAATATAAACGCATTCAGTGCAGTATCCAGAGCACTACCTTCCTTTTTGTAAAAATGTTGCACAGTATGAGCAATATACCTTCATTTTTGTAAAAACATTGGCAGTGCTTAATGGTTTAATGTCACCTGTGGTTGCAGTGGTTAGCACGGATCCTTCGTTAGATCCTTTGTTAGCCGCCGCGACCTGCCTGGATCAGGATGTGGGTGAGGTGCTTCTTGGGCTCCCATGCTGCAGCACATGGACGAGGGATGCTGGGCTGGTGGGATGTCCCCTGTCCCACGGGGAGCAGCGTGCTCCCCAGCCATGGGTCCTCTCCATCTGGGTGCCACCCTGCTGCGAGGTTGCAGGGCTCATGGGACCCCGCACAGTGGTCATCTTCCCCGGGCAGAGGTGGTGGAGAAGCACCAGGATGCTGCTTCCGATTTGGTAGGAAAAATAAAGTAAAAAGTTCACCTAGGGTTCCCGTGTTACAATTTTTCTTTTTTTTTTTTTTTAAATTTTTTTTAACAAGACCAGTGGCTTTGATATCTGCAAGTTAGATTAACAATTCAAACTGATTAGTTAAATCAGAGGATTGTTTTGGGGTTTTTTTTCCAGTTTTATTAAGGGAGGGCAATTATCACAGCCCATTATGGAGGAATGTGACATCCCCACAGCTTTGGGTGAGGGCTGGATGCCCTTTCAGAGATCCGGTTCAGTAAGTTATTTGGCCCAGTACAGGAATTGCTAGCTGAGATTCTGGGGAATTGTACAAGCAGCCAGATTAAATCAGTCTTAATGTGTCCATTCTGCGTTTAAAATCCGCAGTCCTTTAGCAGAGGCATGGTCTTGAGCTGCAGACTAATTGGGCATGGGTAGGGTTGTTATTTACAGTCGGTGTTGATGAGACACTGGGAGTTGGTAATGTGTCAGCATGGCAACTGTTTTGCAAAAAAGTAGCACAGATAACTGCACATTTCAGGTTTATCTGCCGTATTTTACAATTGCAGCTTTTTGAAGAAAGGAAAGTTAACTTTTAGGAATATGATTCCTTTAGAGTGAGGTTTTTTTTGAGGAGCCAGAAGATTCTCAAACATGCTGAGTTGTGGAGGGTTGGTTTTTTCTTTTTTTTTAGTTTTTTTAAAAACCATTTGTATAGATAAAACCCCAAACCAGCCACCAACTCCAATGGATGCATAGTTTTCTGATCTTAAAATAGTTCTTCCTTGGCAGAAAACTTGCAACAAATTTCAGGCTATAGTAACTTTTTTTTTTAACAGGCAAGTTACAAACCTTTGAAAGCAGAAATTACAATGAAAATGCTGACAACTCCAGTTATGCAAGGTTGTGTGCGCATGAGACGATGGACTATTGTGGTGTTTTAATAATAACCATAGCATAGCTGTTAATGAGCATGTTTCTATATCCAGCTTCCCAGCTTCGGTAGAAATGATCACTCGCCTTTATACAAATACATTCAAAGCTTCGTATTTTCTTAGAATGAATATTTAGTTTAGGAACAGATGGGAGTACGAGAAAAAGACTTAACTGTCCAT